TTAGATCATGGCCAGGCTGAGCCTAACTGAAGCAGACAGTTAGATACTGATGAGGCATCACGTGTGAGTGTAATCCTGCTGCACTTCTTTCCTCTTTACTGCAATTTTGTAGGTTAGTGTTTTTGTGGCCTTGATCATCCCCACTCTCCCTCCGCTCTAATGGGAGGTTTTTACTGTAGCTAAGAGGGATTATTTGGCTGATTTTCAGTACTCATGCACAATGGCTCTTGTCGATGCATGTGGAAAGATGCTGAGGCACAGGGATACATTAGACAGTTCAAATATTTATTTGTAAGGTTTGGCACATTTTTCATGTCGCACTTAAAACTAGCTCATTCCGCAAGTGAGACACTGCAAAAGCACAAAACTGCAGACTGAAATATCAAGAACAGGACGGATCCCTGGAGGATGCCCGGCCTTTATATCCTGTTCCCCCTGCAGAGGTCATGTTTCCTGGGCAGACACCCAGCTGGAGTGCTGATAGCTGCCGTGGTCAGAATACCAAATACCTTCAAGGTGAGGGAGGAAAAATCAAGAGTTGGCGTCGTTATGATGTACAGCACATAAACACTTTATATGGTGTCCAATGAGATAAAGAGAGGCTGTATTGCATAGTGTGGGCACTATGGATTGGATTACCAACTGTATCTTGTTACACCCGTTTTGATCATGTGCTTAAAGCAACTTGAGGAAACCACAATGACTTTGCCTAATTCGGCACTGAGCAGTTTTAGTATGTGTGCTTAATCAAAGTCTTATTTTGGATGCTTTGTTAAAAGAATAGGTATTGAATATTTCAGGCCTGTATGCAGTGGGAAGGATGATTTATTTTTCCTTCCCCTATAAAAATATCCTGGTGGTACTGTGGAGAAAAAGGGGTGAAATCTGACTTACAATGGGCCCATTAATAGTTCTACTTATGCAACACTTAATACTAAATATAAAAAACTGACATGTACCCTATCACACGGTAAATGACAATATACCAATAATCAGACAAGAGCACAAACATAATTTTAGGATGATGAAATGACAATTTATTCTTAAATTACAAACCATGTAACAAAAAAGTTGCCAAGCAAAAACTGTTACACAAACTTTATTCTTCAGAATGAAAAGTCTAAGACTGAGCTGATGTAACAAATATAAAAATGACATAACTTGAAATCTCTGCAGTGTGGCCAATAGCAGCGTCATGTTATTGTTCTCTGACTGCCTCAGACATCATACAGATTTACAACCATAAGACACAAAAAAACAAATTAAAAACATAAACTCAACACAAAAATATCAATTCTCATCATCCTGCCGACCAGTAGTGATTAAGTAACTCTCTCTTAAAACATGCACAAATCACAAAACTTTAGAAACACACCAATTGAGAATACTTGAGTCAGGGACAATAAGAATACTCATGAGGCTACAGAGGCCTCAACAGCTCTCAAAATGAAAACACTGACACTTCACATTAAAATGCCAATTATTTAAAGCTGGGAAAGGCTAAAATCAAGTCAAGATGTACTTTTATAATTCACATTCATTTAAAACAGGATTTGTAATCAATACAGATTTTAGTAGCCTTAGGTTAATTGCAATCAAATCAAAGACGAACCATCAGCAGGTAGCCAGATAATCCTGTGGGCTCTTGAGTTACAATGTTGTAGCACATTAATTGAATAGCAAAGTACTTTTATGTTTCCTTTTTTATCTGGATAAACGACCTAAAGATTTTCTTCAAACCACAATCTGCTCTGAAACAACACAATTGCCAAAGTCAGCGGATAAATGTCAGAATTCTGAAGGAAAGCCTTCATAATTAGTTCAATCTGAAGTAAGAGAAATCAGTTAGGTAGTGGCGGTTGGGAACTAGCTATTATCAAGGATTAAATTCTTTGCAAGAGTAGTTGGATGACTTGAGCTCTAACGAGCCCATTTCTGTGTGCTATGTTAGCTGAGAGAGTTAAAGTGTAGATGATTAGAATGCAGCTGTTCGTGATCATGATAAAGAGATCCATTGTCGGGAGTAACATCCCCATTTATGCTTTGTCCCTCGACTGTCACAGACCTGACTGGACTCCCACAAACCCCTCTGGGTAGGAGGAGAATCAATTTCAACACCAGACTACCTTGGATAGGCAGACGCAGAGTGGAAAGTAATTTTTAAATTTTTAACTTCCACTTCTGTGAAATTTTTCAAATAAACGTGATATGCCTGCAACCAAATGGCAAAAAGTGAGCAGACTGATGGCAGCTGAACACCAAAATAAGTATGCTACCTCACATGATGTGCTGGATAGACAATTATGAGATGTCCCGCCTCACAACAACATGTTGTATCCATCCGACTCATTAACGAGCCGTGCCTCCCGTCAGTACTTGCACACGCAACAATACTTCTACTGCTCTATATAGTGGATGAGGCTGAAAACACGCCATACAGATACATCCAGATTATTGTGAGCAAAATAGAGACACCAAATTTGATTGCTAAAATATTGTTGTTTACCTAAAAAAGAACAACATGAGAGTACGTTATGTTTAATTTCTTACCCACAGCCGATCCGTGACAGAGTAAACGACAGCATACAGTGAGGAATAAATTAATGAAATGGAACATAGCAATTTGGTGACGATGGCATCGTTGATGACTTCACACTTCAGTCACTGTGCACTGGCCATCGGGCATTCTGGACCTTCCACTGCTACTGGATGAAGAAGGAGGCAAGGCAGACTCAGCACCAGGAGGGGATCTGTCTTCTGGATTCAGTCTTTGCCCCCGCGGCCTGTCCTCCGAGGGCTCTACACGCTCTCCATCTCCCCCCTCGTCTTCTTCATCATCGCTCCAGTCTCCAGAGCCAGACTCATCCACAGAGGTGTGAGGGTCAGAGGACCTGGAGGGTGAGGCCTCCTCTTCCTCATCTTCTTCCTCGCCTTCCCCAGCCTCAGACCGCTCATGAGAAGGTGTGGGCCTAGTGCTGATTTGCAGTTGGGAGAGAGTATCCTCCAGAGTGGGGCTGCTGTTGCCAGGCTGACCACCAAGGGAGGTGGGAGGTCTGGCAGTGGCTATAACAGTAGGGGGGATACCTGTAACCTGCTGCTGTACACCTGCCACTGTCATATCTGCCCCATCAGCAGAGTTTTCTCGACCAGCTGCCCCAATGGCCGCAGTAACACCATCAGTGTCGAGGCGCAGACCCGCCACTCCCTTCTTGGGGATATCCAAAACATCCCTCTTCATCTTGCGCCTACGACCGTGCTCATTGCGCCTGTACTGCACCATGTTCTCCAAGTCAGCTACATACAAAAACCCAGCAATCAGCATTTCAGCGGTTTTCTTGCCCTTGGAAAAAGCGTCCTCCAGCTCGCGGCTGGTTCGCTCATCGTACTGCCACCAACCATTACGGCCCTCATAATACCAGGCGTGATCACTTGCTGCCCCACCCCGACCTCCCGCCGATGCCTTCAGCTCCTCCGGAGAGAGAAGTGTAGGCCTTTCCAGGAAGTCGTCCGGTACTTCCTGTCTACAGAGAGCACAGCGTTTGCTCTGCCAGGATGCTCCTTTCACACACAGGAAACAGAAGACGTGATGGCATGGCAGTTGGACTGGGTGGGAGCAGCTCTGCAGACAGATGGCACACTCCGGTACAGGCAGAGCTGGGGATGAGTTACTGGAGCCAGAGCATGAGGATTCTGCACTGTTCCCACTTCCACCGCCACTGTTGTTGCCTTTCTTACTGGATGGAAGCGAGCTGACAGAGTGGTCTACCTCTCCACAACTAGCCATCCTTAGGAAGTACTGAGGAAAGGGGACAATTGTAAATATGTTTGATAGTGAGCATGTTAGGATTATAAAGTATAGTTAGATAAATAATCTGCAATGATAGCACTATTTTACTGCTGGTGTCATGATCACATTTAACACTCAACTGTAGGTCACGTCACTAAATAGCAAACAGTCCAAGGATGAACAAACTAAGAATTCTAAATATCAAATGATACTATAATCTATATGTCATCTTTAACCTCAAACAAGGCTGACATTTGATACTTACCAGAAGTGCCTTAACACTAATTTATCATGAGGAGAGCTGATGGACCTTCAAGCTTGCCACTGCCTAAAGGGAAAGGAGCAGGTGGTGAAAATGTAGTCATTTGTTTTCAGACTGAAAGTAAGTACAATTGTGATAAACAGTATCAAGCCATTTCTTATGTAAACGTTATCCGACAACGGAAGCTTATGTGACAAACAAGCTGGACTTTTAAACAGATGCTAAAACGGATTAGCATTAGCTAATAATAAGCGTTAATTAACTTAACGCTAGCTATGACCGAAATGTTACTTAAGTCTGTGGAACAAAAGGGCTGCTCTGTCAACTGTCTGACCACTACAAGTGAACTGTGTCAGCTAACTAGCTAGCTAACTGTTATACGTTTGTGCAAACCCAGCTGGCTTATGAACACAGCCAACGATACTCGAGTAAAAACCCAATGCTAACGATCTAGTATTGACACTAACAGTTAATTGGTGACAGTCCATTAGCAAACTAGTTGAGCTAATGTTAGATACAAAACAGCTACGAAAAGCCGAGCAGTTTGTTGTTAACCTTCAGTATAAACACAACACAACAGCGGGATCATAACAATACGACCTGTTGTGGCTAACGCTGGCTAGGCTATGGTAGCACTCTGACTCCAGCAAATAGACGGAGTTCATATGACGGCGCTAGCTTATTTTAACAGGGCGACACAAACTGCAAAGTATTTTCTCACGACAGAGACAATGCAACGACTGCGTGGGTACCGTACCGTTAAATGTAGCTGTGTTAGTCTTGTGCGTAGTTACAAGTATTCGTGTAACGGCGCTGGTTTCTAATGCTAGTTCACCGACCTCCAATGTTAGCAGGCTTTGTTTTCATCCGAAAAAGGAGCTAAGATAAAGACGACGACGTAAGAGTACGCGCTTACGCAGTCTGACGTAAAATCACGCGGCCATTATATTCTGCGCATGACAGTTAGCTTGATTTCCTGTTGGCTCGTGGCTAGAGGACGTTGGTGTCACAGACGAGAGGGGCTCAGCAAGCGTTTTTACTTTCCACTAAAGCAAGAAAAGAAGCAACAAACAAAAATGTTTGCCCGTACCGTGAGACCGACCGTGAGCCTGGCTCGAAGCCTATCCACCTCGTCACAGAACAACGCCAAGGTTGCGGTGCTTGGAGCGTCAGGCGGCATAGGCCAGCCGCTTTCTCTGCTCCTCAAGAATAGCCCTTTGGTGAGTCAACTCTCCCTGTATGATATTGCCCACACCCCCGGGGTGGCTGCAGACCTCAGCCACATCGAAACAAGGGCCCATGTGACCGGCTACATGGGTCTCGATCAGTTAGACGCTGCTCTGCAGGGTTGCGAGGTTGTGGTCATCCCCGCCGGTGTGCCCAGAAAACCCGGCATGACCCGCGATGATCTCTTCAAAACCAACGCCACCATTGTAGCCACCTTGGCCGATGCCTGCGCCCGCAACTGTCCCGAGGCTATGATCTGCGTCATCGCCAATCCTGTCAACTCCACCATACCTATTACATCAGAGGTCATGAAGAAGCATGGCGTGTACAACCCCAACAAGGTATTTGGTGTCACGACCCTGGACATTGTCAGAGCAAACGCGTTCGTGGCAGAGCTTAAAGGTCTTGACCCAGCTCGTGTCAATGTACCGGTCATTGGAGGTCATGCTGGGATTACCATCATTCCCCTCATTTCCCAGTGCACACCAAAAGTGGAGTTCCCTGCTGACCAGTTGGCTGCTCTGACCAGCAGGATCCAGGAGGCCGGCACAGAGGTGGTTAAGGCCAAGGCCGGAGCTGGATCTGCTACCCTCTCCATGGCCTATGCTGGTGCCCGATTCACCTTCTCTGTCCTGGATGCCATGAACGGAAAGGAGGGTGTGGTGGAATGTGGGTATGTCAGATCTGAGGAGACAGAGTGCAAGTACTTCTCCACACCTCTTCTCCTGGGGAAGAACGGCATTGAGAAGAACCTCGGGCTGGGCAAGCTGACTGCCTTCGAGGAGAAGCTGGTTGCCGATGCCATGACTGAGCTGAAGTCTTCCATCAAGAAGGGCGAGGATTTTGTGGCTAATATGAAGTGAACAGGGGGCATTAAGTTAGTTGAAAACGAAGAGCTGTTGTGAATGATATTTTTTTTTTTTCTGTCTTAACTTAAACGGCATCTGGGTAAATCTCAAGATCTGTCAGTGTTTCCCCTTTTGTTTTTGTTTGGTCATCTTTATTCAGAAATCCTGGTTTTAACCAAGGTCCTGTGTATCATCTCCTTACCTTTCAAACATGGCTTTATCTTGCACTATGATTACTGTACTGTGACTTATATATATTTTGCAAATGTCAAATTTAAACAAAATTTCATATATTTTCATGTAAAGCCTGTATTAACAGGGATTTATCTGCCCAATGACTGAGGAGGAAATACTGTCATGCCTGTTGATGCAAATAGATGTTGAGCAACTGATAAGCAAAATACTTACTCCACCAATAAACAGTTTAGCTAAAAAAAAAACCGGATTCTTTGTTTCTTGTTTTTTCTTACACAAATAGTTTGACTGTACAGCTGAAACACTGACCACATTTTTAGGGCTGTTAATTTTTCATGAAACTAATCCAGATAAAAGGGATCACCTTCATTTCTTATGTCAAATCTGGTTCATTGGCACTCATAGTATAGATATGGGTTGTTGGAATAAAAACCTAATGGGGAAGCGATTCAAAGTAATTTTACACTTGGAATTATAGTTGAGGGAAGTTTGAGCTACATGTTAGGTAATTGTTGTAGTTGCTTTTTTTGGTGAAAAAGGAAACGGGGCTATTGTCCCTGCAAAAACAACAATCACTTCATTTTGACTTTCATAATGACGGCAGATGGCACTACTCATTTCTTTAGTCTGCATGCTTTTTGATTCACATTATGTGCTGTGGAACAACTCATTATTGGTGTATTATAATTGTTATGGAAAAAGTGGCAGGCTTCCTTGCTGCCATAGACAAAACAGCCCGTGGCAACTTCTTCATCAACAATCGATAGCGGCACACTGTCGTGAGTTTCACTTTGCATTTACTCTGAAGGTTTTAGGTAAGTTCAAGTGGATCGCACAAGATGGCAGTTGGATGAGAAAACAGACTCCGGTACAAACCCATTATAGTTTTATTTGACATACAGGTGCTTTTGGTTCCTAGTCGAGGAGCTTTACTGAAAGCACAGATTCCATTTACACAAAAAGAAAAACCAATGGTAGATTAGATTCCTCACTTATCTGGATAAAACTAGCTTTTGTCCGAGACAGAACACATGTTAATTGTTTTCAGTTTGTGGCCGTACTGCTTTGATTCACAGCAGGTTCTCCTACATCTGTCACTTGCCGTGATTATGAAGATGTCACAAGATGACAATAACAAATTCACTTTTTAATTTTTTTTTCTTTACAAATTCTGCACCAAATAAAATAAGGTAAAAAGATCTAAATAACAGGAACAACAATAATAAACAATTGTTCTACATAATGTTGCGAAATCTACATTCAAAAAATCAAGATCCTCAATGTTGTACCAGGGCCCCATTAAATAACCATATCAACAAGCACATAGTATAACGTCTTTGTCGCTCTGTCCGTCTGTACGCCAGTCCTCCACACAGTCAGACATTTCTCACTTTGTTCTTCAGTACCGTCAGCAGTGTCTCCTGTACTTTTCAACAGAGCCACTCTCTCAGTGGTGGAAGTGAAGGAGTGGGGGCTACAGGGTAGAAAAAAAACATACTTTTTTAAAGTCCATAGTGGCCCAAGCCTTGTGGCTGAATGTGCCCTATCCCGCTTGTGCATAAACATTATATTCAAATCATACAGGTAGCAGCAACACCCCTGCAGAGAGGGGTCGAGGGGGGGTGAACAGTGGGTGAGGATGGGGAGTTTGTGGAGAAGGAGGAATGAGGAGGATAACAGGCGGAGGTTGGGGAGGTGCTGGACTTTCTGTCCAGAGCACTACTGTACAAGGCTGTCTTCGGGGGAGACTGGGTCTGTGTCATGGCCTCTGCGATGTCTGTGCTCAGTTTTGTTCCTGTTATCCAAGTCTTCGCGTTCACCTGTGTCTCTCTCCCTCCCTTGCTCCCTTTCTCTCTTCCGCTCCCGTCGCCCCTCTTGGTTCTCCTTATCTTTCCGGTTGTTGCGATTCCTCCGTTCCCTTCGCTCATTCTTCTTCCGTCCTCCTGGAAGGAAAATGACGTAACAAAGATTAGTAAAGCAGGGGAGAGGGTGAAGCTTGTCATCTCCCTCCCCCAACAACGTCACAAGGTAGTATTCAGTGAATAAACGTTTTACTTTGCATCATTTTCATGATTTTCTTATCCCTATGTTTCAATAAGGATGTTGTATCATATTATGCAATTAACACAGCCATAGAAACATCCAAAATACAGGTTTACAAGTCAAGTAGTCACAATTATTATGCGTTGCCACTTAAGAAGTCTGTGTACAAGTGGCATATATGGTAATGTAGTAATGAATGTATGCAATATTTCAGCTTAGGAGCCTCAAACACACATTTTTCCAAGATGACTTCTTACAGTATTTTGCTGTGGCTAAAAAGACTAAAGCTGCTGTTGATTTTTGTCTGGCTAACTGTAGTTGCTGGGGTTCATAGCCTTAAATAATCTATTCATCGCCTGTGAGTAATGAAAACCACTGGTTGTCGCAATGCTCGGTGTTCACCACTAGATGCCAGTCTTTACCCACAGACAGCGGCCCCTCTCCCTGTGACGAGCGGACCTTTGTCCAAAATAGAAAACCTTTAAATAAGCCCCCAATTTATCTGTTCTTGCAACACCATCTCATAAACAAAACCAAGAGTTTTGGAATGCTGAAGGTTTATCTCTGCTCGGGCTAGAGTTATTAATGATAATAACAAGATCAACCCCCAGGGAGGTTGGAGACGGGACCTGCAAGTGAAAGCAGAGGAGGCCCTTTCCTGTTTTTGTACTGCTGCTGTTCATGTGTGAGTGGAACGGAGCAGCACGGCCTGCTTGGCTGGGTGGCTGGCTAGTCGGGGATTGTGAAACTGCTGAAGTAGGCAGTAGGCACAGACACACGGAGAGAGTGAGAGAGAGATAAAGGGAGGGAGAGAAAGAGATCTCTCTGTGTCTCTCCCGTTTAGCCCCCTACGCTCATCCTCTCGCTCTCTGTCTTTTCATTAATCAAGCCAGGGCTCGGGTTGGACCATGGGCCATGCCTGACCCACACATTCTGGGCTAAAGATAACGAGCTCTACCTGCCCACTGTGTTTAATCTTCCTCTAGAAATAATGAAAGAGGACAGGAGGTCAGGGGATGGACTTATGCATGTGTGAACAATGTGCTCAAAACACGGTATGGACGGCATAGTTTGATTGCAAGACGGTGAAAAGTTACTGAAAAAGAATCAAAATCAAAGAGAGCAAGGATCGGTGGGTCCAGGGATGGATGGATGGATGGGGTAATCTGGTGCATTGACTCATTCAGGGTCTGCCCCCCGTCCTCTATAAACACAGGAAGTCCCCTTCGCTCTCATTGTTTTCTCTGTCCAGACACCATTTACAACTATTTACAAGTTCAGTGGATTAGTCATACTGTAGCCCCCGTGCTTTTGTCGAGCCAGAGGAGAAACCTAATCCATGCCAGTGTTGAGATGATTAGGAGAGTGTTTATCAAACCAAGCCGCGTTTGGTTAGTTGGAACTGTTTCCGATGGACTTTTTGTAAACTGTTTAGTGACATGTGTGTAATGGTCCCCAAATGAGACACCTTAGGAGGTTTTTGACATTAAGCACATTCCCAAGAGCCAAGTTTTAATGAATAATGTTGGACTGGCAGTTAGTGAGAGGTTGCTTTAGGGACAACACATGAAAATCCTCCAGTGATTTTATGAACTGGGACCTGTACCTGCGGTGATATAGCATCATTCGAAAAAGCTTCTTTGTTTGCCTTCATAAAAAGTGGAGGACATCACCTATTAGTCCTGTTTTGGCCAAGATGTGTGCTATATGTTGTGAGAATGCAAAAGTACTACACATAGATTTATTTAATAGATTGTTCTAACAACACTTGGTAAAATTGTTTTTAGGGGAACAAATGCGTCTTCCAATTGCTCAGGAATCAAAATATTTGGCACAGTTTGCTTTGTACAGACACATGTTTTAAACCATTACTTATCACTTACACTTGGGGTACTGGAAGTAGGCGTAGTAGGATATTGCATTTGTACAGGCTGTATTCAGTGTTTGATGTTAGGTAATTGCATGAGTAATGAAGAAATGCATTGATACTGTGTTATTTAAATTCAAAAGTCACTGTAGTGACTAATTATGTAAACACTGTTTTTATCAAGTGAAATGGTTGTGTTTGGACTATTACATGTATGCTGTAAGGGCTTCCTGTTGGTACAAGTTGAATTACTGAAAATGCAGTAAAAGAGAAATAATGCATCATCACGTTAAGACTGTGACCGTTTCTCTGCGACCAGCAGCCGGGTGCAGTGACTTCCTAATGTCTCCACTGGTTGCCTGGGAATAGCTGCAGCAAGTAACTCCCCGTAAATCCACAAATAGTTGCTGTTACGTTTGTGTTTGTGTTCAGAATAAGCAACAGAGGCACAATGTGTTAAATAGAGCTTTAGAAGTGCTAGATGGGCTTTTAAACTATTTTTTGTGCTAAATCAAGTCTCTTAGTCTTAGGCTCCTGGCTCTAGCTCAGTGCCGAACAGACGTATGTGAGAATCGAGTCTATCGTTTTAATCTAATTCTTGCAAGATTGCAAAAAAACACATCTCCCAAAATGTCAAACTACTCCTTTTAATGTGGTTTCATTCGCCGTAACCGCCACAACTGTAAAGCTACTGAAACACTTATTTAATTTCAAGCCTTTGAGCACTGTCTATTTTGTTGTGTAGCAAAAGCTCATAAAAGTGAGTACAAATATACAACACGAATAATGGTGTAATATAAGAGAGCACTCATAAATCTCTGTGGTCACTCATGTATACTTGCTCTACCAGATGTTGTTGTTTGTAGTAAGACTAGATACTCTGTAAAAGATTTTTTATGACCAACGCTGGACAAATATTGACATTCATTTCAAATGATGGTGAATCTGGATCCAATTAAAGAATGGTCTGTAACTTCTCTTAGGTTCCACGTATAATTAGTGCCACATTCAGGACACAGATGACAAGTATTTGTCATCAGTACAACTGAAGAACATTTGCTATAATGTCTAGCTAATCCTTTTCATGGTATTTATTGAACTAAAAAAAAACAGATGAGAGTAGGAAACAGACAGATGAAATGGGAGAGAGGGGCACTGAGGGTAAGGGGAGGTGTGTGTGTGTGTGTGTGCACGTGTGTGTGCGGTTGGAGGAGCACTGTGTGTTTTATGGTGGCACATCCTCCGTGGCAGGCGCTCTGTCGTCCGGGGAGCTTTTGGCGGGAGCCAGGCCGGGATTAAAGGCTATGGGCTGTCCCACAAGTGGAATGCCTGCCGCATGGCCGCCAGGATGTCATGAGGGGGGTTCTGGGGGTGTGTGTGTGTCAGTCCCCCCCCCGCCTCATTGACTGGCTT